GCACCATTGAAGGAGGAATGAGAGGCAGAGAACCAAGGTTCCACTAAGTAGTAATGGGCATTGCATAGTCCTTAGCACCCTTTCCCAATGTCCTATCAGGCCAGGAGTCCATTTCCCTTTCATTGAGGTGACAAGTTGCTCACCTGATCATGAGCCAAAGAACTAATTTATCCCCCCCCCCCCCCCTGCCTTACCAAACTTTTATTAAACATTTTACCCATTGTGAATTAATTAATGGGAATGACAAGGACATACATGCCATGCCCACAGTGAATCTAATTTGTTAATAGTATTTACACATAGATAGCTACTTAGGTACTTAGTCACCAAGGAAAATTACTGATCCTAGCTATCCCACCTCTTTACCCTTTTACTTTGAAAATTGATAATATTGTATTTTTATTACTCTTCATATTGTTAATAGCACTATAATTTCAATATTAATAATAAAAGCATTGAAATTAAAAGCATTATAAAAAATAACTCCTGGAATGAGAAAGTCAGGTGAGGTCATGTAGGCTACTAGTTGACCCCTTGGTGGCTGGGCATTTGTGGAGCCATCTTTCTGGAGATACATTTCACAAAACAATGTTAAAAGTGAATATCACATTTTCTTCACAGCTATGGATTAACTTCATATGCTTCTGTAGACTGCATATGAGTTTGTTGTTGGTAAGATATAAATTTAATATTCTTGACATTCTTACAACTTCTAAGAAGAGAAATGGCTTTATATATTCTTCCAGATATTTCTGTTATGAGAAGAAAATGTAGATCTAGTTTCTTTTTCACTAGAAAGAAATAAAAAATAGTAAAAAAATGCTGTACCTTTAATTTATGAATATATTTCTTATCAGATTTGATGTTGCTATTCTACACTCTGGTAGCAATGTCTGCTGTTTTTATATTTTATCAGTATTGTCATTAACTTCCTTAATAAGATTGAAAAGTAATAGTCTAACTTCTTTTTCAGATGGTGATTCCAGGTGATTTTTCCACAAAAGCAAAGCCTAAATGAGATGATGGAAGAGGAAGAAAAGGGAAAGAATGAACACACACAACCCTTCACTGCCAGAGGCTTCTATGGCAGGGCTCAGTCACAGGACCAAGTGCTGCTGCGCGTTGCCAAGACCAGAAAACACCTCAAACAGAAACCTCTAGTAAGCGAGTACAGACCTGGGATTTTGGGTCCACCTGCCACCTGGAAGACCTTCCGTCGCCAAGCGGATGCCATCAAGTTTGCGCAGGTGCAGGGGAATGGCCTCATGGTGTTCTCCTTTGAGGGGGAAGCGCTTGGCCAGGGGGGCAAGAGGAACTTTATGGTGACGCACCCGAAGATGATGTGGATCCACCAGTGCGAGCGCAGCCCCACTCAAAGGTGTACTTATGAAGTCATCCAGGAGAACTCTGTGTGTAAGCTTTACTTCGACCTTGAGTTCATGTACTTGCACAATCCTGAGAATGATGGTGTTCAGATGACCAATACATTTATTAAGATTGTATGCCACTTTCTCCAGAAGGAGTTTGGGGTATGCTGTAGCCGCAGTGATATTATTGACTTGACTAGCTATTCCTTTGCTAAATTTAGCCGTCACTTGATATTTAACATTCCTGGGGTGGCCTTTGCCAATAATATCCATGTTGGAAATTTTGTTATCATGATTTGCAATCAGATAAGAACCTGGGCAAGGGAAGGTATGAAAGAAATGCCTGGCTTTACATTCAGTGATGTGGAAGCCCTATTTGTAACAGATACCAAGGGAAATAAAGTACTATTTTGCGACGAAGGAGTGTACACAAAGAACAGGAATTTCAGAATTCTACGTTCAACAAAATTAGGAAAAAACACACCTTTGGTGGTAGCTCAAGAGAACCAGTATGTGGCACAGACAAAAATGGGAGGATCTGTAGAGGAAATGCTCTTCCTGGATTCTCTGGTGACAACAGTCAGCGAGAGCCAAAAAATCTTGACTTTTGGAGACGATGGCACAAGAAGACCGAAGTGCACGCAGAAGGAGAGAGAAGGTGCGGGCCCAGGGATAGAGGGGTTCAGCCACTCTCCGTACCCAGAGATTGACAGGCACATCCAGAGCATCCTTGGTCATGGTTACATCCGCTGCTGGTTTTATTTCCCACAAAGTGAATTGCTGGTTTATGAAATAGCCAATAATAGGTTCTGCCACAACATTGGTAGAGAGCACAAGAGCAATGGCGTAATGTACGTTGCAAACCTGAAGCTAGCTGTTTATTATCAGAAATGTCATGACTCAGACTGTCAGGACTACCGATCAAACCCCATTCCACTTCCTGATTGGACTGTATTCTGGAAGAAAATGGGAGAAGAAGAGGTGTTGGAGTGGATCCAAGACTCTCAGAACGGTGCAAATGACATTTGGGACGACAACGATGATGACGACAACCTTCTAACCATGGCAGCCACACAGATTGAGAACGAGCATAACAACAATAATAATATGGATGCGGCAGCTATGGAGTTTGAGAATGAGGATGATGATAATCTTTTACTCATGGCAGCTGCGCAGGTTGAGAATGAGTATCTGTCAGACAGCAAGTTGACTAATACTGTAAAAAAGTTTGAAATGTGGGATAAAATTGACGAGATGTCTCTATCTTCACTGAGCAGGCAGAGTTCTCAGAAAAGCAACCCTTGGGACAAGCTGTCCCTCGTGTCATCTCCAAACAGTTCCTTTTATGACGAGTCTTCACAGAAATCCCTTGACGACTGCAGAACAAACCTTTGTCTGGAAACTGTCATTGCAGACCAGAAAGTGCGGCAGAACCCAAACATGTATGACTTTGAATCGGACGAAGAGTTTGCAAGTGCCGCGGCCAAAGTTGAAGAGGAGCTTCAAAAGCAAGCAGGGGATGAAGTGGAATTCAATAGCTGTGGGCTTGATGATGAGGACTTTATGCTGCCATAAATTTGAATATGGAAAATTCTGTTTTGCATGATGTATATTATAGATTTATTTTCAGTAAGTAAGGAAATTAATAACAGTTTTAGAGTACCTTTACTGTTCTGGTACAAAGTTAATAAAGTTATATATTGTGAACAAAGGTTTTAAGAATATATATTTATTTTGTTAGTTATTACTGGTCTGTCATGTATAAATATAAAAAAGCCAAGGGAAATTAATACAAAATGCTTTACACATTTTACAGTGATAATGATGGACCTGTATTATAGTAAACGTCGCATGAGCTGGCTTTGATAAGGGATTGTGTATACAAGAGAATAATATATAAATTTGACAGAGCTCATATCTATTAATGGTGCTTGCTTCATAAACGTTAATCTTTCCTATGTTTTGTTCGTAACATGAAAGAGTTTGATTGTGTTACAAATTATTTTGTAGTTTAAAACTCATTTGCTTTCAGTTTTTTAGTTAAATTATTATGGAATTTCTTTCATTTTGGTTTACATAATTTACCATATAAGATCTAAAGTAATCTGATATAGATAAAAATGACTCGGTGATATAGCCAAAAAATTGATTTGCAAATCACTTTAAAATTAGAAAAGAAAAGGACTAATAGATGTCATCTACCCTTAACAATATAATTTAGGACACTTCTTCTGCAAAGAAGACCATCAGGACACTAAGACAATACATGCAGGCATTCAAAGGTGTTCTCAGATCAAGTGCCTGAATATGCAAGTCTAAACTTTCATCTGTAACAATCATTGCTATAGTCACATTGATGCACTTTATCTTATGATAGTAGTGTATTAACATGAATATATTAGTGTTTATATACAGATGAGTTTAATGTAACAAACCATTTTTTCGATGCACGTTTGGACAGTTGGTTTAAGAATACTTTAGGATGCAGATACTCTCATTTAGGTCCACTTGAATTCTAGCAAATGGTCATATAGTGTTTAGTCAAATGTCATGTACTTTTGTTATTATTTTTAGTATTGGATAGAAGCACATATTTCAGGTTCTATTACTTATGCAGTGATTATGTAACAAGAACAGTCCAGTGGTCATGTAAAGTTTTAGAAGTCACTCCGGTATAAAAAATGTGAATTATCCATTTATAGTATTGAATATAGATATTTATATGGGGAAAACAGTATTAAAAGTTGTAAAATTTCCTTTTTTTTAAATCAAACTTCATGTTTAGATATGTTCATTTGTTATGCTATATATCAAATATGTGATATTGGTAACTATTAAAAGCTTTATTGGTAAAAATGTTTAAATAATGCCTTTCAAATACCATCTTCAGAAGATTAGTATTAACATTAATCCATCTCTAAAAATAAATGTATAAATATTGAAGTTGTGCTTTGACTTTCTCTTAATATCTGCTATGGTTGAAGATGCTTTATTTACTGAAGAGAATTAACCCCTTCATGACGGGTCATGCTGTGAGGTGTCATAACAAACCCTCTGTGGTATGTGGCAGCCCACCAAAGCGCTACAAGCCGGTGTACCGAACTCCCGCGCTCAAAGTCGGCATGTTGACATTGATCGCTAGAGCGTAGAGTTTTTTTTATTTTTTTTTTTTCATTTTCTTCACCCGTCACCAAGGGGTTAAGAAGGGAAAGGAGAAAGAGAAGAAAGGTGAGACCATCAAAACTGAAAACTGTAATAGCTGTGTCCAGTATTTCTCATCATCATTTTACCAAGAATATCTTCCCATTATCTCCACAGGTTAATAAATAGTCTTATATTTAGTTCTCAATTTATGAAAAATAAAAAGTACAAAAAGTCTGTCTCAGGCCAATAGTTGTGTACCAACACTAGCACCTTTTTAGATACAGGGGAAAAAATCTGCCTCTTGCCTCTACATCAAAGGAAAAACAAATAAGCAACCGAGACTATAACTATAAATATATATATATATATGTGTATTCTAAAATGTCCTTCAACTCTTGCATTCAGCCTATAATAAGATATATGATACAGTATCTTTATAACAATATGAACAGCTAAATGTTTTTAAGGCTACATAAAATGGAAAGATAA